CTCGATCCCAGGACCCTGGGATCGTGACCTGAGCTGAAGGCAGATGCTTAACGACTGAGCCACCCAGGTGCCCCCAAAAGCTTTTTATCTTGATGAAGTCCCAATAGTTCATTTTTTCCCTTGCTTCCTTCACCTTTGGTGATGTTTCTAGGAAGAAGTTGCTGCGCCTGAGGTCAGAGAGGTTGCTGCCTGCGTTCTCCTCAAGGATTTTGATGGATTCCTATCTCACATTGAGGTCTTTCATCCATTTTGAGTCTATTTTTGTATGTGGTGTAAGGAAATCCAAACCCTACTTTTCGCTGTGTGCTCTGTGTTCATGGGTGTGATCCTGGTGACACTGAAGGCTCTCCTCTCATTTGTGAATCATTGATCTGTATAATACCTATCCTCAGGCACAAAAGATTTTTACTACTGGTTAGTGCTTTCTGTGTTGTAAGAAAAACTCACAAAGATGTCTTCCTGTTTTCTTCTATAAGATTTGTAATTATAGCTTTTATACTTAGGTCTATGACCCATCTCAAATTGACTTTTGTTTATGGTATGAGATATCAGTAAATTATGTTTCTTTTCACATGATCATCCAGCTGTTCCAACATTATTTGTTGAGAAAACTGCTATCTTAATACATTGAAATTTCCAATCCATAAACATGCTAAATCTTTCCACTTTTAATATTTTCTTTAATTTCCCTTTGTGATGTTTTGTAGTTTTTCATTGAACATCTTTTGCTGAATTTATTCCTGCTATCGATACTATTGTATATGGTATCGTCTCCTGAAGTTTATTTTTCAGTTGTTTGCAGCTAGTATAAAAACACTTGATTTTTTTGTACTGACCATGCATCTTGTCTTTCTAACTTCACTAATTATTTCTAGTTGTTGTTCATTGATTCCATAGTGTTTTTAATAGAAACAACCATGTAATCTGAAAAGTCATAATTTTATGTCTTCCTTTACAATATTTAGGATTTTTCCTTTTTTCTTTTTCTTTTATTTTTTTGGTTAAGACCTCCAATCTCATGTTGAAGAAAAGTGGTGACAGAAAACATTGTGCCTTATTCCCAACCATAGGAGGAAAGGGTTCAATATTAACCATTAAACAGGATTTTTGTTATGCATTTTCTTTGTTGATAGCCTCCAGCAGGTTGAGAAACCTCTCCTTTTACCAGTTTGATAAGAATGCTCATTTTGAACAAGTACTGGATTTTGTTACAAGTTTTCTCAGCATCTATTAATATGGTCAATGATTATTCTTTATTATTCTGCTAGTAATTCTGCAATAAACCCACTTGGTCATGATGTATTACCACTATATATGGATATACACATATGCACACACATGCCTATGTATACACATTTGGATTTGCTTTGTTAAAATATCGAAAAGGATTTTTTTCATATATGGTCATAAAAATATTGTTCTGTCATATCTTTGTCAGAGTTTGGTGTCAGGTTTTTGCTAGCTTCACATAATGAGTTGTGAGTAGTGCCTCTTATTTTAAAAAAGTGATGTGATGAACACTGGGTATTATATGCAACTGTTAAATTATTGAACACGATATCAGAAACTAATGATGTACTATATGTTGGCTAATTGAAT